GGACGCTGTGTATAGATTAGCGTTACCAAGCCGTATTTATCTATTTATATCGTTGCCTTTCCTTGTTGTATCCGCCTCAATTGGACAGATTTTCACGCAGAGATTGTTGCAGAATTCTCGTAAGAATCCAATTCTTCTCTTGTTAGGTTTACATAATCATGTTTTACGAGCAGTATTGTTCAAATGAGCTATGTGGTTAAATTAAAAAACACCGAATTATTTTTGTAGAGTAAATCAAAGAAAGAAAACTGATTTAAAAAATTGAATTTTTTATTTTCTGACATATTGAGGAGAATAATTTCTGCTATCAAACAAACCCGAAATCTTCTACAGATGGAGGCACAGCAATCAACGTCAAATACTCTGACTTTGATATGCTATTCAAGTAGTCTCTGTATGTCATCATTGCGCTGAAATGAAGCTGTTATATGGCGTTACTTTGCCTGATGATTTAAGGGAAGTTTAAGAACTTTTAGCCGCCTGTTATTGCCTTTCAATTAACTAATCAAAGTCTGAGAAAAGAAGCATAAAAAAATTAATGGCATTGATAATTAAACCTTTTCAGTTTTATAAAATATTTGGGATTCTCTGTGGTACTGTTGCTTTCGGATGGTATGTTATGGGAAAAAGGATGAAAAATTCTTGTAGAAAACCTTAAGGAACGAGAATGGCAGAAGGTGGAAAGACATTTGTAATTGTTGTCTTTGTTAAACACGTCGAGATAGACTGAAGGGAAGAAATTGAACAAAAAACTATCCTATATGGCTTCTGTCATTAAAGTAATATACAGATGATCGAACTTTTGAAAAAACCACTATTCTGACTTGGATGCAAAACGCTGGCAGAAGTTGAACAACTACTTTGTCATGTTCGGCCTGTGGTAAGTGTAATTGGAAAAACTTTCGTTTACTCTGTGTACTGCTTCATCGATCTGCATTTTCTCACTGAGTTCTGCTGTGTCACTATATATTTGGAGCATATATAGTGCTTCTTGAAATTCGTCATTGGCTTTCTTCAGGAACGACAACAGAAACCGCTGTTTGATTTCCTGAAAAGCCTAATTCTTTTAGTAGATATAAGAACAAGGTATTTTATTTCAGCAAAAAACCACGTTTCTAGTGCAAACTGTTTTATACGACATAATGTGTATTCTAGCTGATGCTGTCAAGTTCACTGTTATGTCAGAGTCTGGTTTTTGGAGCCATGTTTTTTAAAGCAAGGTATGCATATAAAAAAAATTCTTTCGATAGCGCTTACCTGTGAACTATATTCGTCTTCTGCGGTTATGCGCCTTTTGAACCTGGATGGGTAAACGGGCAGATCAAACGACAGTGTTATCACCTGCTCAGGTGCTACAAATTTAATCATAAAGTTTTCAAGTTGGGAATAAAAAAGCTGCAAGAAAAAGTTTTTAAAAGTTTTCTTTAAATTCTTGAAAGGCAGGCATGTGGATTGTGTTTGACCTAGAAACTATAAATTTGTTCAATTATCCTCTCAGTGATTTGAGCTGTTTATTCCAGTCTTTTGCTTTTTAGCAGCATGTTAGTTCTGAAGAGCCTGTAGCTATATGGTTTACTCGAGAATTAAAAATTTCTTTGGGGGCTATTTAAAAGGATGTGCATCTTAGTTTCATATCTAAAATAAGGTAGTAAGAAATAATATTTTAACAGCAAGGTAGTTTTCATAGCTGTTAGTTATCTAAGAACGTATTTCGCTAACTGACGAAGCTTTATAATTTTTTGGTGCCATCAGTGCCTGCTGGATTTTGAATACAAGCGCCTTGATGGAATCAAAATTTACCCAAAATTTTGTTTAAGCTGTGGTGAGGGTTGACAATTACCTGCTGTCTTTTGCACTCAAAAACAGTGTTTTTATTACATTGTGGTGTGGAAAAGCTGAAGAGAAGATTCTTAAGTTGTGGGCGGATAG